TTAATAACTGCAAACAGGAGGGCCCACACCATAACCTCCCAGTCCTCATGTTCCTTTGACAATGTGATTCTGACATTTCTTCCACCCTCCTCCTGAATCTGAATGGGCCCATGACTATAGCAAAAGTGGTGTTATGTGCTTCCTGGGGCAGGTTATGAAAAGTAGTGCTGCATCAACCTTAGTCCTCCTGGAGATATTTGCTCTTGGAACCTAGCCACCTCGCCACAAGAAAGCCCAGGTCATATGGAAAAGCCCCAAGTAGGTATTTTGGCTGACAGTCAACAGACAGCACCAACTACCAAGCTCCATCCACTATCTAGTGAGGCCATGTGACAGACACCCACGTGAGAATGGCCTAACTGAGCCAACTCAGCTCCCAGACTTCTGAGAGACGATAACGAATTATGGCTGTGTAAGCAATTGGTGTCTAGTTTAGTTTGTGGTGCAGCGATGTATAACTGAAACCTTGAATGGATATTACCCATTCCTCAGCCTACATCTTCACTTAAGTTGTTTTACACCTAAACAATCTTTTTTTGCACTCCCTGACATCTCCAGTTATCCAAAGCTACTTTTTCAGCTTAAAGGCAGCTTCTTCCGAAAGGCATTTCTTAATCATTAGGTTTAACTGTCATCTCTTATTGCTCTGCCTAAGGGACAGGTAAATCCCTGCTTTCTCCCATCCCAGGATAATTGTTGCTTCACAGTCACTTTATCAAAATACTCTTTAAATCATTTGAACAAACAGTAGATGCTTTTGCTAACAGTATCATCTATAGAGAAGTCCATAATTCAGAAAGCGTTGACATGTATTATAGACTTCTCCTGGGGAGGTCTACACACCCATGTCCTCACCCCAGAACAGGGAGCCCACAACAAACCAAAGTAACAAGTGCACCTGTGTCTGGTGGTGAAGCAATGAGTTTTTATTGGGGTCACACTAACAGGGGTACAGGTGAGAAGTTTCTTTCAAGGAGCAGGTATGGCTCAAAAATAGCTTCACCAAGCCCACCCCAATGTGGTCGAGGAACTCTCAAAATACTAAGCCTGGATCCCCAGGGCTCTTATGAGCAGTGCTACAGCCTGAACTACTTTCTTTGACTAACAGTTTGACTGGTCAGTGTCTCTATCTCCACCAAGAATCTTACAGTTTTATATTATTATTGTTATTATTATTCATTTTTACTTCACTTTACAATCAGAGGCTTCTGAGCCTCCCTCTCCTTCCTAGAGGAAATGTTTCATTGTGAAGGGGATGTTGACATTGAACTGGACATGCCCTGTAACAACTTCCCTTTTGTGAGGTTCTGCCTTGCCCTGATATATCCCTAATACACTTTTAAATGAGTCTTCCTCTGAATTCCTGCTTTGGAAATGTAGTTCCCACAGGACAGTGTTGGAAGATGGAGTCTTTCTGGAGTTGTTTATGTCATGAGGGCTGTGTCCTCTGAATGGATTCATGCCATTGAAGAAAGGGCTTTATAGGAGCAGTCTTTTGGCTTTCTACCATGTAAAGATGAAGGGAAAAGATCCTCACCAGAAGCCAAGGTTGAAATCTCAGACTTCACAGTCTTTGAAAACTGTGAACAATACATTTCTGTTCTTTACAAGTTAGTCTCCAGTGATTTGCTATAGCAAGACAAACACATCTCATGGAAACCTCTTCTCCTCTGCAAAGGTATTTGCAATGAATAGATTAGTAAAAATTCCTTATGACCTCTTCTGTATGCATGCTGTTTACATGACAGTATCTCTCATAATACTGATTTTTAACTTAGATGCATGGTTGTGGCGGTTTGAATGAGAATGGCTCCCATAGGCATACGTTATTTCAACGCTTGGTCCCTGGTTGGTAGAACTATTTTTGGGGAAAGAATTAGGAAGAGTAGGCTTGTTCAAGGAGGTGTGTCACTGAGGGTGTGCTTTGAGATTTCAAAAGGCCATACCAGACCCAGTTTCTCTCTCTCTCTCTCTCTCTCTCTCTCTCTCTCTCTCTCTCTCTCTCTCCTTACAAGTTGTCCACCAGGAATAAGCTGTAAATCCCTTTGCTGCTGCTCTGGAGCCATGCTTTGGCTGTCTGCTGCCATGATGGTCATGGACTAACCCCTCGAAACTGTAAGCAAGCCTCTAATTAAATGCTTTAAAAAAATAAGTTGGCTTGGTCATGGCATCTCTTTGAAGTTATAGAACAGTAATTAAGACAATAGTGTACTGTAATCATGTGGTAGGTATACTATCATTATACCTGGTCCATGTTGGTGAATGTAGGTTAAAGCACATTTGTTTTTTTTTTCTCAGTTATATAGTATTTCCTATTATTTTTGGCAAATTTTAAACCATTTTCCTATACTATGGAAGCTAAGGTTTTCCTTAATTTTTCTTTATTGAAAATACTGGTTTGTGATGGGACATCCCCAGGGGAAGAACTGCTTAGTTAGAAGAAATGGAGCTTTTAAATTTTACACAGATTCTTAACTTCTTCTCCAGGAAGAGGGTCATATTTCTATTCCCATCAATCGTGGATAGGGTGCTATCATCTTCCCTGATGCTGGTTATTATTCAGCTTTTAAATCGTTGCCAATTTGTTAGGTGAGGAATGATATTCCCTAATTTTTTTAACATACAGTTTTATGATCAGGGAGACCGAGCAGCACTTCACGTTTTATTAGTTCTTGTATTTCTTTCACTGTGGCATGCTTTGGCTGCCTTTTCTTTTTAAATGGGAATTTCATGTGAAGTACACAAACCTTTTCACATAGACTTTGCTGATATTATTTATGTTTGTTGTTTGTATTCACTTGTGGTATCTTTCGCATCAAGACGTTTTAAAAAATGTTTATGCAGTTAATTCTTAATCTGTATTTTGATAAAATACCAGGCTACACTGTTTCCCAGAGAAAGGTCCTCTCCTTAAACACAGCCATATTTGGCTTGAGATACTCAATGACCTGAGTTTGATCCCTGGAACTTGTGTGGTTGGAAGGAGGGTACTGATGGTGAAAGTTGCCATCTGATTTCCACATGCATCCTAAAGCCGAATGCATGCACACCTACACAATCTCTAAATAAATGCAATTTTAAAAATAAAAGACACATTTCAGAAACTATAAAAAAAAAAAAAAAACTTGGGAGGCAGAGGGAGGCGGGTTAGTTCAAGTCAGCCTGATCTTCAGAGTGAGTTCCAGGATGGCCAGGGCTGTTACACAGAGAAACCCTGTCAACAAACAAACAAGCAAAACATTTACAATTTGAGAAGAGTTTTCTTTTGAAGAACTTAAGATATTTTTAAAAATCTAAATTCTAAGAGACTCATTGACAAAATGTATTTACTCATAAGTATTTTTGGGTATCAAATTATTTTTTTTTTATTTCTGGCACACAGTGGGATCTTTTATGGTGGAGGTAAGAATATAAGAATAATCAGGAAATTTTATTGGGGGGTTGAGTCAGGGTTTGTCTGTGTAACTCTGGGACTCACTTTGTAGACCAAGCTGGCGTTGAACACACAGATATCCACCTGCCTCTGTCTTCCAAGTGCTGAGGGCTGAGAGTATAGAGTGACTATCATGCCTGACTTAGAAAAAAAATTAATGTAACAGTTTTTATAGGCAAAATAAATCAATTTCCATTGTGCCCCTCCCCCATCTTTCATAAGGACTTAGTTTGGCTCATAGTTCCAAGGTGCAGTCCATCACAGAGGGATGTCAAGGTGGCAGGAGCTTGAGGTAGCTGCTGGCATTGCATTGACAAATCCACAAAGAGGAAGTAGAGAGTGATGATTGCTGGTACTCCTTTCACCTTCTCCTTCTTATTGAGTCTGGGACCCCAGCCCCATGAAATGATGCTGCCTGAAGTTGAGGTGGATTTTCTCTCTTCAATTAGCCAAATACAGAAACTCCCTCATTGACATGCCTAGAGGTTTGATTGATTGTAAATCCCATCAAGCTGACAATCTATATTAACCAACACAGGAAAGAATTGTACCTTCGGACACATTTCTACAGTGAAGAACACCATCTCATCCTAACATGAGTTCCTTATTCCTTACCTGTCCTGTGTCAACGTCCACATTACACTTTTTTCATTATGGTAAATTACAGTTTACATAAACTTTACTGCCTTCACCACCTAGAGTATGTAATTGGTAATGAACTGCAATAGTTTTCAACTGTCATCATCACTTCCTTTTATCTTGTCCAACTGGAATTCTGCACCTAAAGTACCCCCAACCCCACCAACATTTTCTGTGTCCTATACCATCGATTTTTCTGACGCTATAAGTGCCTTCTATAAAAGTGGACTTGGGTGATACTTGTCCTTGTATGACTGACATACTTCACTTGGCACAGTGTTCTCAGGTTTCACCTGTGCTTAGTGTATGTTAGAATTCCCCGCCAGGGGGACATAAGACCACAGTGCAACCAAGAATGGGCCAGACTGTGGTACACGGAGTGATGGGTCTTTTCTGAGTCCTCTTGTTACATTTAGAATGCACTCGTCTAATCCTTGGTTTAACCCCCTGCCCTCCACTAGGATATAAGTGACTTTAAAGCAAGGGCCTTTCTTGTCCCAAGCTAGGAATTTATTATATTGGTTCAAGAAACATACTGCTAAATAAATGTACTCCCCTACTCTATAAGTTGTCTCCTTCCTTCTTAATTTAGTATTCACAACGTTGCCTTTTTTTCTTTTACTTTCTCATCTCCTTACCCCCTCAAAAAAATCACTAATGTTAGGTTGACAATAGCTTTAATCTCTGAGGACTGATATTGCAGCCCACGTCACATCATCAAAATCACTTACAATTATCTAAGAAGAAATCAATTAAAAAAATTCCAGAGTGACTTGAATGACTGACTACCAAAGAATGTAAGTCCTTTAGAGAAGTAATAGGGAAAATGCTTTACCCCTGTGTCCTAGTTAGTGGTTACTACTGTGAGAAGACACCATGACCATGGCAACTATTATAAGAAAACATTCAATTGAGGGCGTTCGCTTACAGTTCAGTGATTCAGTCCATTTTAGCAGGGAGAATGGCAGCATGTAGGCAGATGTGGTGCTGGAGCTGAGAGTGTTACATCTTGCAGGCAATAGGAAGTTGATTGACATACTGAGCATATGAAACCTCAAAGCCCGCCCCCACAGTGACACACTTCCTCCAACAAGGCCATATCTACTCCAGCAAAGCCACACCTCCTAACATCGCTACTCCCTGAGATTATGGGATTATGGGGGCCAATTACATTCCAAGTACCACACCCTCTAAACACAAATTCACAGCCAGCAGTTTATAGAGAATCTATTTATGTGTCTGATCTTGCAACACAAATCCAAGTGAAATAATAATAAATGAAAGTCAGAATTAGAAAGTACAAACTTACAAATGTGGGCAAAAACAGTTACAGAGCAAAGGAATTAGAATCTCTAAACTTGCAAGTAACAATATGTCTGAATTCAGGAAAGATCTTCCCTAGACAGTCTTTCACTCCTGAACTTAACCTGGGAACCTGAGATACATTTCTTAAGTCTCAAATAGAATCTGCTCTTTGGCTCTCTGGTAATGAATGAACAGCTACAGCCTTCCGTTACAATTAGTTTTCACTTCTGGAGCATTTCCCAGGGGTGATCTGTGAATGCTCTTAGGGAGGTTAGTGAGGCAGATCTGGAAGCAGGGCCTCAGCTGAAGAATTGTGCTCCTATGGGATATGGCTGTGAACATAGTATGTGCTAGAACGTAACACAGCCAACGCACCAAATGCCACAGTTTTTAAATTAGAGGGTTATTCTGAGTTGATACACACACACACACACACACACACACACACACACACACACACACACACCACTCATATACAGATCCTTTTATATTTATGACCTTCTCCCTCCTCCTCCACCTCAAGCCTGAACTTATGTGAACAATGAGTCAGGCTTTATTAAAATCACTGGAAAGACCATTAGTTCCATCTTTCCTCTCAGTGAGTGACCAGCACCAATCCCCCCTTCTGCGGCTGGAAACCCTGAATTCACATGGCCAATTATGCAATACTAGACTACTGGGAAGCATTTCCGGCCGGCTCAGCTGGTGATCTGATTTTACCCTGCAGCATCCAGATTGATAGGCCTTATAATTTTATCCTGGGTAGTGCAGACGTTGTTCTTATGTAACTCAGGGAAAAAAAAATTTAAGCCTCCCTGTTTTTGAAAACAAACCCCTAAACCCTTTTAAAGAGATTTTCCCTGATGACATCTCAAGGTAGTGGGATCAGTGCCCTGAACTCTGGCTAGGGTAAAAATAATAATAGAAAAATCTGTTTCCTCATTTCTGAATTTGCTGTAATTTAATTCCACTGAATGCTGTGTGCACTTGTTTATGAGACAGAGCAAAAAGAACAGAACAGTAAAGCTTCCTTTAATCACTTGTTTTTATTTTATTTATTTATTTTTCCGGTTCAGGAGTTTGAACTCAGCCCTGCCAAGCTTGAGCTTCACTCTACACTCCTAAATCACTACTCCTTCAGGAAGCTTTTCCGGGCACAATGAGGATGGGAAACGAGACTTGTTCTTCAAAGGTACTGAGTATCAATTGAGGAGCCCCCAGTTTCACTCCTGCTAATCATAGGGCGTAATTTTACAGAATCACATTCATATGCATGTGTGGGGTATCATACATAATTAGTGTGTTTATGAAACACCTTGCAGAACCTCAGAACACCCAGATCTATTAACTCTTAAAGGGAAAACTCCAGTGAAGAGCAGGCACAATGGAATATGCTTGGACTGGGCTACTCATCCATCATCCATGGCAGCAATGAGATCGCCAACAAAATAAAACACGTTTTTATGAAACACTGACACAGCCAGCTACATATCCAACCACTTCTACAGTTCTAATGATAAAATAAGCACTAGATACTACATGGAACAACTGTGCTAGCCAGAAAGATTTTTATAATCTGAGAGAAAAGCTCCCATCTTGACTTGCTAAGAGAAACAACTCCTCTTTCCTTGATTATAAAGAAGGAAGACAGATGGCTTCTTGTTTAAGACTGTAATTTTACTTTCAGCATCCTCCCTCAGTTAAAAACAAGATGTCCTTTTCTGGCTTTGAGGGAAAATCTCAAGGGAGGGATTTTTATTCCTGGCTGTATTGAATAATTCAACAAACAACCCAGAGAGCACAGGGAGATACAAAGAAGAAAATACTTCCCCTTGTTCTCAGGGAGTTTACAGTCTTACTGTGGAGTTTATGAACAGAATTGGGACCACAGCAATTAACAGTTTTATTTCTTCACTTCTAGCTAATGGCCCAAATGGTTACCATTAGGGAACACTTAGTATTTACCCATCCTGTGCCTATGCAGGAGCCTCGGGTCAAACTGCAGAAAATTCAAGGACCTAAAGTAGTTCTTGGTGAGTGCTCATTCACTGACCTATCAGCTGCCTTGCCACATTATTTAATCTTCAGAACACTTTGCAGCCCTCCCTGTCTTCTATCGGGGCTTCACAGAGGCACATGAGGTTCAGAGGAACGAGTCATCTATACTCACAGACCCAGGAAACGGTAATGCAACACACCAATTTGGGAATTCTCCTCTTTAGCCTTTTTTTCCCCTTTTTTGGTATCCCCGCCCCACCCCCTTAGATTTCTCCTTTCCAGGCACATACAATCAACTTCAGTGCTCATTTTCCTCCCCTTTGACTTTGGGTCACCTTGAAATCTGTCCTTTGTTTGGCAAGGCAGTACTCTAGTATCTCGCTCCCTTATCTCTCAAACAAGCCTTTCCCGTCAGTCTGAGCCACTTTGACAATATGAAATGAGACATGCAGGTTTACGAGAGTGTTGGATACATGCATGGTGCTGTGACTGTTAACCATGACTTGTTTGTTCTCGCCATTTTTAAGCTGCTCTCGCTTCACACTATTTCTAAAGGCTTTTAAGCGTTGGAAATTTCTTAAAAGGTTGTGCATGTCTATTCTAACTTGTTGCTACCTGAGCGTGTACTAATACAGGTTTAAATTTTGTAAGAGAATAATAGCAACTTTGCTTTTTATCGCCTGTTTGATCTTAGTGTCAATAGATTTCTGGAATATAATGTCCCGGTAAATATTTTCAATATGAATTGATACGTGTGTGTGTGTGTGTGTGTGTGTGTGTGTGTGTGTGTGTATGTGCGCGCGCGCTACCATGGGTAACAAAGTTTAGTCAAGATCTAAAATGGCTTTGACTTGAAGGCCTGAAGTACTACCTTTCCCTTGCATTTCTGGCTTTTACTACGATTTCCACTTGGACGCTGTCGCTGTAGGCCTCTTTCAAGGCTTAGTTTCCACATCAGCAAAATGGGGACAGGAGCAACAGATAATTTTTCCTCCTCATCTTCCATCTCCTTCTCCATCACCTATTCCTTCTCCATGGGCGGTTTAGCACACACGCTTTCTTTTGGGTAAGAGAAGCATCCGCCAGAGCCCCAAAAAGCTTCGG